TACCTAGTAGAGCCAATTGGGTCGAAACAACTAGCTGTGCCTAAACCCTAAACCCTAAACCCTAAACCCTAAACCCTAAACCCTAAACCCTAAACCCTAAACCCTAAACCCTAAACCCTTAACCCTAAACCCTAAACCCTAAACCCTAAACCCTAAACCCTGAAATTATCCGTTCCGTCGTTGTAAATTGAAAAATAAGCATCTGGCACAAATGATAATTCACCAGCAGCTGAAACGCTAAAATCTGATGATACACTTGATATATAATTAGTATTGTTTCCAAAAGTTTGAACCTTTTGATATCTTATGATTACTATGCCAGACCCTCCAGCTCCTCCCGTTCTATTTGCTGACCTTTCAGCTCCGCCACCTCCTCCACCTGTTCCACTTGCTCCACTTATTCCATCACCTTGGCTTAAAAACTCAGCGCCACCGTTTCCACCTCCTCCTTGACCTCCTGATATTCTTGTACCATTATTAAAATTACTTCCACCACCACCGCCACCGTACCAACCAGCAGGAGACCCGCCCATTTGAAAGTTTGTAAAGAATAAACCAACCCCACCAACTCCAGATGTCCCACTGCCTCCAGCACCTCCAGCGCCTCCACCACCTCCACCAATTGAACCAGCACCACCACCAGCAGCATAACCAGAACCGCCATTGCTTCCGAAGCCTCCATATGTTGATGTAGGCTGTAGCGCCTGCCCACCTGCTCCGCTGTAACTATCACCACCTCCACCACTCCCTCCATCCTTTCCGGCTAATCTTAAATATCTACCACCTCCGCCGCCTCCAATAGCTTGATAAACATCAAAATAGCTATCTTGTCCGTTCTCGCCTCTCCTGCTAAGGTTTGTTGAGTCATAGCTATTTGAGTCTGTACCAACCCCACCTGCTCCACCACGACCGACAATAACGCTATATGTTCCTTGTGTTATGCTATAGTTTTCTAATAGTATAATACCACCTGCTCCTCCACCTCCAGCATGCGCAGACCCACCACCTCCACCACCACCGGCAACAATAAGAATATCGCATGTTGTAGAATATTGAACATCTAGACTATAGGTTGTATTGTCGCCTGAGCCTCCATAAGTAAATAGTAAGTATCCCGTTGTATCATCTATATCATTATTTGCTACAGTGCTCGTCATTGGGTTGATATATCCAAAAAGTTGATTAAAAGTGCTTTCAAGGACATAGCTATTAGCTAGGCTTAATAATCCAGAAGATACATTAAAATCGCTTGACACTGAACTTATAAAATTTGATGGAACAGCTAATATATCAAGCTGACCGCTAGCATTGACCGATAAATTATTTGTATTAACTGATTTGATAAATTGATTTGCTGTTAATAAATAAGATGATAAAGAACTTGTTAAACTTGTAGATGTTACATAGCTTCCTAGTGTGCTAGTAAGACTTGTAGATGTTACATAGCTTCCTAATGTGCTCGTAAGACTTGTAGATGTTACATAGCTTCCTAATGTGCTCGTAAGACTTGTAGATGTTACATAGCTTCCTAGTGTTGCATTCAAATATGTTAAATTGATATAATTATTGTTAGTTAAATAAGTTTGTGTGTCTGTGTCAGTGTATCCAGCCGGTATATTATCAATTAAATTATCAACTTCTGATTTTGTATAAACACTTATTCCTTGCACCTTTTGATATCTTATGATGACTATGCCAGACCCTCCAGCTCCACCGTTTCCAGTAACTGACCTTTCACCTCCTCCACCTCCTCCTCCTGTTCCATTGGTTCCAGCTATTCCAACGCCTAAACTTGAAAACTCAGCGCCACCGTCTCCACCACCTCCTTGACCTCCTGCTTTTCTTGTTGAGCTTTGATAATTACTACCACCTCCACCACCACCGTACCAACCAGCAGGAGACCCTGCCATTTGAAAGTTTATAAATTCTTTACCAACTCCACCAACTCCAGAAGTTCCACCACCTCCAGCACCTCCAGCACCTCCACCACCTCCTCCAACTCCAGAAGAGCCTGAGCCTCCATTACTTCCGAAGCCTCCATATGTTGATGTTGGTTGTAACGCTTGCCCAACAGCTCCGCTGTAGCTATCCCCACCTCCACCACTCCCTCCATCCTTTCCGGCTAATCTTAAATATCTACCACCTCCGCCGCCTCCAATAGCTTGATAAACATCAAAATAGCTATCTTGTCCGTTCTCTCCTCTCCTTGTCAAATCATTAATATATGTGGTTCCTGATATCTCACCAACACCACCAGCACCACCACGACCGACAATAACGCTATATGTTCCTTGTGTTAAGTTATGGTTTTCTAATAGAATGATTCCACCTGCTCCACCGCCTCCAGCATGATATGATCCGCCACCTCCACCACCGCCGGCAACAATAAGAATATCGCATGTTGTTGAGTATTGAACATCTAAGCTATATGTTGTATTGTCGCCTGAGCCACCATAAGTAAATAGTAAGTATCCCGTTGTATCATCTATGTCATTATTTGCTACTGTGCTAATCATTGGGTGAATAAATGTGTAAATAGATGTTAAGTCACTAGTAAGAACATAATCATTTGTAAGGGTTAATAATCCGGTATTATCAACATTAAATTCGCTAGAAGTAGATGATATATAATTTGGTGGTATATCAATATTTTGAATTAACGTATATAATATGTTAGAATCATCTTTTAGATAATTAAATAAAATATTGCTTTGTTCTAAAGTGTGATTGTATAATATATTTGAATCATCTTTAATGTAAGTATATAATACATTGCTATCATCTTTCAACGATGACAATGTTATATAATTATTAGCTGTTAAATAATTTGCTGTGTCCATATCTGAATAGCCATCAGGTATTACAATATTGTTTATCTTATCATCGATTTGCGCGTTGGTGTAAGGCTTAGCGAAATTCTGAACTGTTAATGTTCCTTGTCCTGAATATCCTATGATTATTTCATTTATTTCTGATTGTGATAAGGCCTTATTGTATATTCTGAGGTCTTGTAAGAATCCTATGAATTCACCTATTTGAATATTTTTATTTATGCTTGTTAGTGTTGTAGTTGTTCCTGTCAATGTCTGAGCCACTCCATCAATATATAGATAAACAATTGTTCCATCATTGATAAAACAATAATGTTTAAATGTGCTAGATGTAACATAACCATTTGATAAAGTTGATATGTTAGCCTCATTGTTAAATGTAAATTTTAGATTGTTACCGTCTCTTTTTATATATATATAATTATCATCAGTTGAAAATATAAAGTCATCTGATGGTGTTGCTTTTAATCCTGTAATCTTTAGAAAAAAACTTATTGTTATTCCTGTCTGACCTGTTATTATTAATGGTAATTGAGAAGATGTAGTACGCCTTCTATCTGGTGTGTCATCTTGTGATTGTAAGCTATAGCCTATCTTATAATATTCAGTATTTGAAAATGTAAAATCTGTATATGTTGTATCTGTTCCCTGTCCAAGTGTTGCCCAGTCAAAGCCATTATTTAAATATGATGTTAAGAAGCTTGACACAATTGACATCTCGGAATCTGTAAGGTGTTGGTCCCATATGAACAATTGAGTAAATGCCCAGTCTGAAGCCTCCCCCCATTTGGTGCTATTATTAATACATAAATTACGATTACCTACGCCACCCGTAGCATTGGCCACACCTACACCATCTACTAAAATATTATTTGCAAATCCTGTTGCCCTGTTCTCATTTTTACCACAGCATACAAGCCAATTATCAAGCGTTCCTCTGCTAATTGTTGTATCTGTTTTCCAACCTTCGTAATAACATAAACCTCTTTTGCCTCCATACTGAGCATGTAACCAATTGGCAGTATTTCCTGACGCTTGTAAAATTCTTTGTCGTGTTCCTCCTGTATATCTGGTAACTGAACATATTGTAAAATTTGTAGGAATAGAACCAGAAGGCCAGTCCATCTTAGCTGATGTATCACCGTAAATATATGATATATTAGCAGATGCCCCAGCTCCTGAAGCGGTCGTTTTTGTTACAGTTCCAGCAGTTCTGCTGGCATTTCTCCCATTTCCTGAGCTATCGGGTAAAACACTCGTTGAGGTGTCATAATTTTCTGCGTGATATCTCGCCCAACATGGCTTATTTTGTAATAATAACTCCATTTCAGAATATAATACCGTAGGCGGCAATGTGTCAAAATTATAATTATTTATGGAGTCATTAAAGTCATTATTGAATTTATACCAAGCTATAAGGTCTGTTGTGTTTCCTGTATATGATATTGTAGGTGTTAATGTGCTTGTGCCTGCGGCCGAGTACTGAAATTTATATAATTCAGGAGTGATCAAGACATTATCATATTATTTATCTTCAAATATCAGAGAAATAGATTTATTGAATAATGTCAATTGTAAAGCTGAATTTGTAGCATTATATGTATTATTTGTGTATTCATCAAATAGATAAACATTATTATTATCATCGACTAGGAATTGCGCAGGGTCAAAATTATATGTTGTTCCTCCTGTGCTTGGCAATACAACGTTTTGAGTTGATACATTAGCATCTCCAAATCGTACAATCTCGTTATTCTCACTATCTAATAAAACAATCTCTGGGCAGTTTGCGCCTGCTGCTCCTTGAATACCTTGAACGCCTTGAGGGCCTTGAACGCCTTGAACGCCTTGAGGGCCTTGTTCTCCTGCTGGTATATTTATATTGGCAGTTGAAACATTAGGGTCTCCGATTTGACCTAATAATAAACTACCATCTGAATTATAAAATTTGAGCTGTCCAGCATTCACACCCGCACTATATAAATTTATTGATTGAGATGATACATTTGAATCTCCAATTTGACCTAATAATGTCGAGCCATCAGAATTATAAAATTTAAGCTGTCCAGCATTCACCCCAGCATATCCACGTGGGCCAACTGCTGGCAGATTAATGGAAGCACTCGAAACATTGGCATCTCCAATTTTTCCTATTAATTCAGTCCCATCAGCATTATAAAATTTCAATTCTCCGGCATTCGTTCCTTTTGGAATATTGATAGAGGCACTTGAAACATTTGAATCGCCGATTTTTGCTAGCTCAACCGATCCATCATAATTTTTAAATATGATTTGACCGGCGTTCGTGCCAGCATCGCCTTTATCGCCCTTATCGCCCTTGCTTCCAGTTGCACCAGTTGCTCCTGTTGCTCCTGTTGCTCCTGTTGCTCCTGTGCTTCCAGTGTCTCCCTTATCACCTTTGACGCCGTCTTTTAATGTTATATTTTGACTGTTATAATTATCAAATGTTATCGTGACATCTCCGTCTTTCGTATTTTTAAAATTTAGTTGAAATGGTTCAATCTTAAAATTAACACTACCGGAATTATTATAGGTCCTTAAGACGCCTATGCTATCATTTGCCTCATAAAGGTCAGTTATATTTGTCTTGGCCGGTTCCTTGTTGATGGTTAAGCTTCTTCTGATATTATTGTTTGTTGATAGGCTCTGTTCTGTGCTTACTGTTTGATTATTCAAATTTAGGGAGGCACCACCATATAAAATATTATTGCATATCAAATGATCTAATTGTAGCCCTCCCGTTATCTTTGTTTTCATATTATTGACATCACCACTGTATAATTTCGAAACATCATCATCAGACCATATCCCATTTGTAGCATTCATAACAATATTACATATTCCCCTATTAGCTGAATATCTCCCATCTTTTAGGATATAGTTTCTAATGTTATAATTATAAATGACAATTGGATGTAATTGATACCAATTCGCAGTCGGTGGCGTGATATCCATAGCCACCAAAACACCATTCAGATACACCTTAAATATATCTTTGGATATGCTGAAAGCGTAATGATTCCAATCGTAAAACAATGTTTTATCATTCGAAAAATTATTGTTAATGATAACAGACCTCAAATTCTCAACCCTTTGTTGTAAATTATTAATATATACAATCTTGACCCGCAGCCCCAAAAATTTATCAGGCAAGGAATCATCATCCGAAATAATCCAGTAAAATTCAGTCCCATCATAAAAACCATCGTTGCCATTCTTATTTTCATATTTGATTTGAAAAAGCCTATATTCTTGTGTTCCGTTGTTTCTTGCCTCGTTCGTGTTGTCAAATCTCCACCAAAAAGAAAGGTTTATGTATTGAGAAAATAAAAGGTCATTGACTATTAAATTTTGATTGCTTTGAAAATTCAGCCTGTATGTTGATATGTTAAGTTTATATGTATCTTCGACCGTTCCGGTAAATTCGATGTTATTGTAAGATGTATTCAATAGGTTTCTTATTGTCAAACTAGTAGGCCCAATATACACATCTCCTTTGACTGGTGATAATGAAAGGGGATATGTTATGTTTAAATTATTGTTGTTCAAAGCTAACTTATCTGAGAACGTCAAAGAGTTATTGACTGTTAAATTATTTGTATTCACTGAGTTTTTTATTTCATTGTTGATAACATTATATAATATATTAGACTCTGAATATATGCGATTGTTTAATAGGTTTGAATCAGTTTTCAAATGATTGTATAATATATTTGATTCTGAATATATCGTATCATATAATATATCATAATCTTCTTTCAGATAATTATATAATATATTTGATTCATTAAGTATATGCTCATATAATATATTTGATTCATCATATATCGTATCATATAACAAATTAAAATCTGCTTTTTGATAATGATATAATATGTTTGACTCTGAATATATTGTATCATATAATATATTTGATTCATCGCGTATGATTTCATATATTGTGTTGGCTTCGCCAAGCAAAGCATCATATAATAGATTAGATGAATCATCAATCATTGATTGGACCCCTGAAATGGTGCCATTAACTATCAGATCACCTGATACATAAAGATTACTTGTAATAGAAACACCATTCGCAAAATTTCCATCCTCATTCAATTTGAGCACTGATGATGTATATGATATTGCCTTTCTAAGGCCTCCCAATATGATATGCCCTGAAGAATTTATCCAAAATGAGAGCGCGGGAGCATTGAGATCGATCCCAAAAATATTATACCAACCTGAATTTCTATTAACGGAGATTATGAATTTTTCCTCTGGCAGATATGCGAAGCCAAGTTTAACGCTCTTGGAAAAACTGGGCGAGATAATGATTTCACCGGATATGTCGGTAGTCACGGTTTCCTACATGTAACAAACCGACGGGTGCATTGTTACCGATGCCCACATTGCCACCTGCATAAAAAATGTTTGTTTCCGATGTAACCCATTGGCTATAATTCAAAGAATCGATATGATTTTTATCATAATAATTCGGTAACGTGACTTGATCAATAAATAATGTCTTGCCTTTGAAAACATTTTTATGTTCTTTTAATGTTTGTAGTTCATAATTGCTACCAAATACATATTGATTTAATTCGGCTTCTGTCAATTCTTCGCCTAATGTTAAGATCTGTTCGCCTAAAAGTCGAGTTGTCCATTTATTGACATTGCAGCCATTAGGCAATGTCACAATTTGCAAATCATATATAAAATTCAGATTAGATCCAAAGCCTAAATTTTCACCATCTATAAGGTCCCTTGAATAAACCTTAATGACATCATCTTGAACTTTCAACTGATCATCTATATCTTGAAGATATCGCATCAAAGCAATAACTGCTTCCCTAGTAGCTGCGGCCTCTATCATGGACGGAATAGCGAGGGCTGAGCCCCCAAGTGCTCCAAAAATCGCACCAGCAACGGCCGAAACAACAGAGCCAGCAAATCCGCCGCCTGCATTGACAGCATCGGCCCCTGCCTGTGCTGCGTCGGTTGCTGCATCCTCTGCATCCTCGGCTTGGTCAGCTCCTGCTAATTCATCTAATTTATTTTTGATGTATTGAATCGATATTAAGGAACCATTTTCCAAAGCGAATTTAATTGTTGATTTTTCAAGATCAAGATCATATTTCAAATAGATCAACATTCTCATTTGATTCATAATTACTGTTTCTTCGGTCTGTGAAAGGTCATTAATGCGGCGGAGAATAAAATTGATTTCATTTGAATTGTCTTCGATACCTTCATATAATTGATTAGATGTTGATATTAGGTTGTTTGATGTATCAATTGCAAGCGCTTCGATCGTCTCATATCGATTAAATAATAAATTTGTCTCATCATTGAGCACATCGACATTAGAATAAAGGGCATTGATATCGGCATTAATTTGATTGATTTCAGGTTGTAAAGTCGTTCGATTTGTGCTGCCAATAAATTGATATGGCTGCCGGTCATTGTTCCGACATGACATTTATAATAAAGAAAGATAGATAAAAATAAAAAAAAGAATATAATTTAGTATAATAATGGTAATGATAATGATAAAGAGGTTTTAATAAAAAGGAGGTAGGCGGAGGGTAGGCGGGGGGGGCGGGGGGTAGGCGGGGAGGTAGGCGGGTGGGTCCCTCCGCCATGTTTTGGCTGTGGTGGAGTGTGAAAGAATGGTAAACGTAGGGTAAATAGACGTAAGGCGGGGGGGACGGGGGGTAAAATCGTGATTTTGAGGATAAATATATTTAGATCATCCGGCATGTGGCATATATATATATAGCTATGGAAAAATGGAGTTTTCCCCCCCGTCCCCCCCGCCAAATAAATTAAGCATGTAATAGAGCGGAAAAAATAAAGAAAAGAAAAAATTAAGCCGTTATGTGAAATAGGCGGGGGGTAGAGGCGGAGGGGGCGGAGGGTGGCGGCGGGGATAAATTATTTTGTTACTTAGGGGGGTTTGCAAAAACAACGTGTTTGATATTTTACCCCCTCACCCCACATAGATTTTTTTATTACTTATATGATCATTGAAGGGTTCATAATTTTCATTGATATTATGTTTGCTCTGGCACACTCGGCGTGTGTGCGCTCGTTCGTTTTTGGTTATTTTGTGTGATGATCCACACCAATGCGCAGCTATTATTTTAATTGAATAAAATATAATAGGGATTCGGTAAGCCGAAAATAAAGAGGAATAAATGTATTTTTTGGGTGTTCGTAAAAATCATTAAAATTTTAAATTGATTTATAAAAGTTTGTCTCCTCACGTTTCCAATGTATTTACTTGCTAGTACAGATTTTTCTGAAACTTTTCGGATGATTCAAGTTCGAAATTTCCCATTGACATCCGTAAACCTCACCGTCACCAAGACACCATGATGGTACCAGATTGAATGACATGTCTAAACCTTCAACGTGGTGTAGTAATTCAAACGTATGGGTACTATTAAGCGGGGCACCGTTTTCTGGCTCGCGAAGTTTCTCAAAATAGCACGCCTATTAAAAAAACTTTCAAAGACTCTACCGAAAAATTTAAGGGCCAAATTAACGATAGGCCTGAAAGTAAACGGCCGCGTCATGATGGGAGCGAAGACTCGAGGCAAGGGGATCATCGCGAGAGAAGAAATCCTAAACCCTCTAAACGCTAAACCGGGCCTAACCCCTAAACCAGGAGAGTCACTCATGATGGCGAGTTAGTAAAGTTCGGACGGCCGGGTCCTCGAACGATTGACCGAGGCCCGTATTCTGACCTTTTTAAACAAACTTGGGGTGGAGGTCACCGGGTGGGGTCTTTTACGCCTCATCCCACACGACGTAGGACTACCCCTACCCTTCTTATCCTTCCCAATGTCTTCACCACGCACATTTATAGCCTACGGGCCTCTAGAACTAAAAGCATAGTTTTTGTTTTTTTTGTACCCCGAGACACCCCCGCTTTAGAGGTGTAATTATAGGGGTGGTGAATACCCTACCCTGTCGGCCCCTCTTAGTAAACTGTATCAGGTGCGATCTCGTCTTTTTCTAGCCAATACCCTGTCGTACCCTACCCCCCATTGATAAAGATTGTCCATGATAAATGTGAGGGTGCTAAACCCTACCCCACCCATGTCTTCACTTGAATCTTCGTTTTTAGTACGCTACTCAGGTCATGGTTTTAATTAGACCACCCCTGCATGGTATAATTTACCATGTACCCCACCTTACCATTGTGTTTCCTACCAGAACAACTCTCTGGCACCCATCATCTGACCTATACCCACCCTACCATCTTTATAATCTTCTCCTGCCAGTTCCCCACATTTCGCGCAGCACCCCCGAAATGAGACCCACCCTTCGTCATCTCAAGGCATTCATTGATTAGTGGGGGTGGGGTAGTGACCTCTCTGCCTCCCTGGAGAGGAGAGCTTGCAAAGCACAAGCCGAATAGCAATGAGAACAAGAAAATGTTGAGGAAAGAAGAAATGCGAGACAGTTAGTAGACATGGACATGTAACAACTAGCTACATTATGCACAGACGGACTGGTCTATGAGCATAAATCAGAAATTTAGTTGGGGTGCGATTCTGAAAGCTGTATGAGAACGCAGTAAGACAAGCAGAATTGAAACGACAGGACCTAAGCTCTGCAAAACAGATCTTCACAGTCTGATGAAATACTTCAGTACGAAATCAATGCTGCATGTGCTAGGATCTTGGCTTAAGGTGTAGAGGAGAGGTAGAACCTAAGTATGAACCGAAGCAGGCGTACGCCTTTCGACTGACCATCCAATTCGAGGGAGCTCTTTTCAGCAAGGCCTTCTCTCGCAGTGTCTCCATCTCAGTGTATAGACACAGCGTGAGACCTTGCTGGCAAATATTCCTTTGTTGCTTTATATTTCTTTGACAATGTTCGTGGTGTAGGATGTGCGGAATCATCGCTTTCTTCGACTTGCTGAAAAAGTACCAAGGCAACCCAGAGAAACTCAAAGAACGTTTGACGGTGTTGGGGAACTTGATGAGGACGCGAGGCCCTGATAGCCAAGGTTATCATGGAGGCAAATACTTTGGAATGGCACATCAACGCCTTGCTATCATGGATCCCTTGCACGGAGACCAACCCTTCGTCTATGAGGAGCAGGGTTATGCACTTGTTGCCAATGGCGAAATCTACAATTTTCAAGAACTGATTTCGAAGCACAATCTTCCACAAATGCAAACTCATAGCGATTGTGAACCTCTGATCGCTCTATATGATAAGCTTGGAAATGACATGGTCAAGGAGCTGAATGGCATGTTTGGATTCGTGATTTCCAAGAATGGTGGGGAAGAGATCTATGCAGCGAGGGATCATTGTGGTATCAAACCTCTTTACATCGGATACGGCAAGGAGGGTGAAATTTGGTTCTCATCCGAACTGAAGGGGATTGTCAATGAAGACTGTGAGAAAATTGAGGAATTCCCGGCGGGTCATTATTGGACACGTTCCGAAGGATTTCGCAGATACTATCAACCTGCATGGGATCATGATGACTTCGAGCCCAAAGGAGATTGCTCAAAAATCAAGAAGGTGCTAGAACAAGCTGTGCGAGATCAGTGCATGTCCGATCAACCTTTTGGACTGCTTCTTAGCGGAGGCTTGGACAGTGCATGCATCGCAGTTCTGCTTAAGCCAATCATGCAGGAACTTGGAGAAGAATTTCACACCTTCTCAGTAGGTATGGAGGGGTCCCCTGACATCACTGCTGCCAGGATGATGTCTAAATTCTTGGGAACCACTCATCATGAGCACCTTTTCAATGCAGATGAGGCTTTCGAACATGTTGAAAAGGTTATCTATCACCTCGAGACCTATGAGCCTGAGCTTATCCGATCTGCCATTCCCAATTATTTCCTGGCTCGCATGACTTCTCAATATGTCAAAATGGTTCTCACTGGAGAAGGTTCTGATGAGCTTTTCGGAGGCTATCTGTACTTCAGGGATGCCCCTGATTCGCGAACGTTCCATCGGGAGCTGAGGAGGATATTCCATCATCTTCATAACGTCAACTGCCAGCGAGCAGATCGAATGACAATGGCTCATGCTCTTGAAGCTCGTGTACCTTTCTTGTGCCCCAATGTCATCGAGGCGATCATGAATATCGATCCCAGCTTCAAAACCATTACTAAGGAAAGGCCGGCTGAGAAGCATGCACTTCGTGCTGCCTTTGAAGGAACTATGCCTTCTGAGGTGCTCTGGAGGACCAAAGCCATGCAATGCGAAGGGATCGGTATGACTTGGGTTGCAGAACTGCAGAGCCGGTGTAATCGCCAAATTTCTGATGAAGAATTCGCTCGAAGAGATGAACTCTACCCGATCAACACCCCTGTGACGAAGGAGGAAATGTACTACAGAAAGATCTTTGAGAAGTACTACAAGGGCATGGACAAATTTGTGCAAGTTTGGGATGGAGGTTGTCGGGCTGGAGGAGCAGCTTGGAAGACAACAGCCTACACGCGAGAGGGTCTGAGAGATGTGAAGCAACTTGCAAAAGGACTTGGCATCGACACCAATCACGTTGACGAGCACAGTGAAAAGCTGGCCAATTTTCATGGGAAGGATAGTTTGGGTGACAACACAATTCAAACTTGAAGTTCTTCCCTCATTGAAGCTGTCTCCTATCTGGTGATGAGTGAAACAAAATAAGATTTTGATTATGATTTTTTTGAATCAGACGTGGAGGTGACTTTCTTTTTCAGTTTGATTCTCTCAGAAGTGTTGCAATAAAGTCTATGATGACATTTCATTCAATTAATTTGTGAAACGTCCTCGGAAATCAGATTCTTGGAGAATCAAATTCTAAAACAACACTAATCGTGAACAGTGCAAGAGCATCAAGGCCATGCTATATACTTTAAAACAAATGATCACAACCTACCAAAATTTGGATTGCGACAGATTTGTTTGAGAAAATATCAAGGCAACTCGCACAAGGGTTGAATTCGCTCTTTGCCAGCATAATGCGTATTGAGAAGGTGGACGAGCACAACGAAACAATAAGCTCAAAGTTTGTTGACACGATTGTTGATGTGGTATCCTCATAACAATTGAGACGATTGCTGATGTGGTCACCTTGTAATGAACTCATGTTTTGTAATAACGGAGTTCTTTCATGAACGTATTCCATTCTAGTTGTGTTCGCCTCATGCGATATGTCTCATCGTTTTGTATCCAAGCAAGGAAAGTGGATACATAACGCTGATAAATCCTTCTTGCCTCGTCAGGTTGCGGGTTCTTGATAAAGGTTTCGTATTGTATTCTGTCTCTATCTAATCGAGCGGGATCCCTGATTGGAGAAGTCTGAAGTTGATCAAGAATGTGGCGATGAAATGATCGAATAACAAATCCAAGGTTCGACAGCATTTCTCGGTCTTCCCTCTGACTGAAATCTCTTGGATGGAGATCTTTGTACGGCGGGAGATTTTTGTCTGGGTTGCCGAAATACCACAGAATCCATCCGCATGCTAGGCTAGCAAGCTCGATCTCTACGGCCTTGTTTGCTTTTTGAGGCTGATTGGTTGTAGACATCTCATCAGCAATGTGTAGCAACGTGTCCTTCAGCGAAAGGTTGGCCTTGGGCACATGTTAGCAACTATTCTCACAAAACTCCAATCTACTTACACAAGGATACAGCGCAAAAGGGTCTTTCACATTTGCATCCTTTGCAACATTCTTCATTTGTTCTAGTGTGTCACGCAGCTCCCCTAATGTACGGAATGATGGCGAAGGTGCATCTGAGACTTCCTTTTGACCACTGGCGGACATATTCTGGGACGATCACCTGGCAATAATGGATGCGCTAAGTCAGGATAAAAATGAAGAATCTCTGTTTAAGAAAGGCAAGTTTTGTCACAACGAATGTATCAACTACGTGACCTCATTCCAGTGCTCGCTCGAATACTCTTCACAATTAATTATTTTCAACACTCCCATTTTTCTATCCATGCCACTCTGCTTCACATACTCGCTCATCTTCGCTTTCGCCTCTTGTATATCGCTGTCGCTTCTCTCTCCCTCCCTCCCTCCCTCTCTCTCTCCCTCCCTCTCTCTCTACCATCTTGCATACGCCTACGACTCCTCTTCACCCTTCGCCTCTTCCCACTCCATGAAATCCCACGTCGCATATGGGTTTTCTCAATTATTGACTGAAAAGAAAAGCAACTCATTTCACTCGCCACCCCGGGGCCCGGCCTCCGCTTACAGCGGCCCCGGGGCGGAACAGTCGGATACTCCGATACTGGCAAAGCCGCCCGCTTCCTAGGACCCTAATAGGACCGGTGACCACACTACAAGGCAGATAGGCTCCTGCTAACTAGGGTCCTCCATCCGATGCCATGATGATCGCCATGTGCGGCTGCAGCGGTAGTGCAGTGTGGCCGCGCTCTGTCGCAATGGCACTGAGCCTAGAGCCGCGGCAGCACCACCGTTCACTATCATTTGAAAGTATTCAACATTTAATGCAAATTACTGACTTTGTTTATCATGGCAGGTTTTCCCCATGATGGGCGACAATGAATCTTTGGACGAGCTGGTGAATAAGATGCTTGAACCATGGTCAAACCTTCTCTGTCCTATGTTCAATTCCAACCTAAAGCAACCGCTTTGCGAGAGAGACAAGCTGGAAGATCATCGAGCAGCCCCTCAACACACTCAAGATTGTCCCAACTTGAAAAATGTCACAACAAGGATCTCGCCAGTGAAAGCCTATCAATATCGAAATGGCGGTTTCACCATCCCTCCCAGTACCCGCAAACGAGCAGTGAGGGAGGTAAACCAAATCCTTGAGCTGCACCATTGAAATCTCTACGCCTGTTCTCAAGCTGGGTCCGAGTTCCTTTCTGCTTATATTTGATTCGTACTGGCTTGAGGTTGTATGCTAAACTCTACTGAATTCAGCTCGATGTGCTTTAGTAATGATTGATTATTCCTTGTACTTTTTAAAGTTATCACCGTTTGGCAAAACAGCTTACTCCAAAAGCTTTCATGTTACCGTTCAGATCACAATCAGCCTACGATCACAGAGCAAAATTCCTCAAGCGCTGGCTCCAAAGTTTTTTCCCGTGCTGAACCAGGAAGGCATAGTGAACTCTCCGAAGGGTGACTTCAATACGCTGCCGTCCGGAAATTTGTCCTTGGAGGCTTCTGCAACTCGAGGCTTCTCCACAGCCTTGACTTCTGTCCGCATTGGCTCGACAGCAGGAGAAATCTGAGGAATGTCTTCAGTCACCTCCTTGAACTGATTGACTTGTCCCTGAGAGCCCTCCTCTCTGGCCGGAGGGGCTGGAGGGGCAGAGACAGGCCTCGAACGTCCTAAGCGGCGGCCTGTCTTGGACTTGCTTGCCATTCTAGCAGTAAGCGAAGTGGATGTAGAAGGAGTGTCAGATCCAGGACCCGAAGAGTAGCGCAACTGCAACATGTCACGATAACGAAGAATTCCACGTTGCTGTCGCTTGACCCAGGGACGGCTTGCCTTGTTTTTCTGCCATCCGTAAAGCTTCCTTGGAGCGGCTGGGGAGTTCGACGGGGGAAAGATTAAGTCGATGATTGAGTAGAGGAAGACACCTCCAATGCCAATGGCACAGCCAAGAAGCTTAATAGGATCCAAGCTTTCACGCAAGACGATAGCAACGCCAATGATAACGATGACTCTCTTGGCGGTGTTTGCAACTGACTGAGTGACCGCATTCGTCTTCTTGATTGTCATCGTCGCCAGCTCATTGTATCCGTAGAACCACAACCCGGAGGCAATCAGATTGTATGTCACAGCTGGAGTTGTTTGCCATAGAGAGCAAAACTGTCCCCATTTTGCACCCTCCTTTGCTATCATCACGGGGACAGAAAGCAAAAAAGAGAGGATCATGGTGATTGCAAACTGATTCCCAACATTTCCAAGCCTGTCTTTGATCCCAGGAGTAGTCATGAGCTTCTGGTTTTCTTGGCCCTGTTTGGAGATCAGCTCATCTGCGTCTTCATCTCAAAATCATCACCTTGAAGGCAGCAAAAAGATTGGCAATGCAAGCTGTGATGAGAGCAGACCATGCGAAATCAAGCTCCTTCACCGAGGCGAGGACGACTCCTCCAATGACTGGGATTAGACACAGCCACTTTCCCAGTGAGAGCTGGCAGATTCAAATGAGTGAGCGCGAATATCAAAAAACGTGGGTGAAAGGAAGACAGACAGTGCCCCCCAAGAAGTATCGAGGATGAACACTGCGGTCTTTGAAAGGTAGATACAGACTATAGGAAGAAGGAAGAGATTGATAATGGCTTTTTCTGACCTTCTTCTGGTAAAGGGTAACTCCAAGGAGAGCAGCAAATGCTGGCTCTGCAGCCTTGACGATCTGTCCAAAGGAAACGGCTCCAGCACTGAGTGCGAACACCGAGAACGAATGAGCGGCGGCAGCACAGAAAGCGACCTGAAAGTTGGCTTAGCGGGTGACACATCGGTATGCGCAATACAGGGATCATCTTGATCACATCTTCCTTGGTTATTTTGGGAAGCTTGCGAGCATCTGGCGCTGCCCACAAGAAGAGGGCGTACAAACATCCCACACCAAGCTGCAACGTGGCAATTGTAAGGGGGAACCCTGCCGCTCCTCCGGCTGCCTTCAGAGCCAACTTGTTTGTGATGTTGTCTACCAACACAATTTCGTCAAGAGACAGCATGCCTTCTCATTTGAACTTACAGTAGTAGTTGCCGAGGTACCACAAGGCGAAGTAGGCGATGAGCTGCAGGTCGATGGAGATCCCCTTAGAGGATGTTGTCGGTGACGAAGAAGCTGACATCAAACGTGATGACAATGGGTTTCCTTTCTGCTCACTTCCTGCTCTTGTCAGGAGCGGACGGGAATAAGCTGATGGTATCGCAAGGGTGTGTCTCGTTGCATACGGAACAGCTTTGGGGGACTGCAGCGATGACGAAAGGAGAGTGACAGACGGCTTGTTAACAGCTGGAAGTGATGGAGGACTGAAGTTGGGCGAGAGGAAGGCGCATGAAGATGCTGCCATGGTCATCCCCATCATGATCCTCATCGTCGCCTTCGACGTCGCCGTCTGCTCTCGTGCCATACACCAGTGACAAGCCCGATGCTCCTCACACAAAGCTGGTTTAAACTTTACTCTCATATTTCAAAATAACACAACAAATCCTGCAGATAGTAGTCGAAACCTGAATCCTCTTCTTTATGACTCAAGTACCCACCCTATATTCGGAAGTGCTTCTTCACCTACCCCTTCCAGAGAGGGTCACCCAATGAGACGACCAGTGGTCCTTGTTTTACACACCCACCCAGCTCCTAGGTTTCTATGGAACCGGAAAAAATTTAGCACCTACCCTACCTCCCAAATTGTGGACCCACCCCTCTTAGAGGCCCCAACCCCGGTAACCTCTGGAGGCATTTGCAAGGCTCGGATCCTGCACCCCAATGTACCACCCTACCCAGTCTCATTTTATACCACCACCCCCTTTTGCATCTCACAATTACCCACCTCTTTCGTATCAAAAAAATCCTTAACCCCACCTCCCTTCCAACATGGCCGTACAGCAGGCCTGGACAGCTTACTAGCCCCCTTTGAGTAAAAGGTCAAGTCACTGATCCGGCATACTCAGTCACTATGATAGCCGAACTTACCGCCGTAGTACCGTCCGCACTGATCGGACTGGCAGTGAGTAAATGAGACCCGGGGCCATCCGGCGGCGAGAGTCGGTGAGGCAGGCAGTGGCACTGCGCCGCGCCGGCCGGGCCCCGGCAGCCCGAGGCCGACGAGCCGGCCCAACGCAGGCCGGGCTGACGCGGCCCAGACTCAGGGGGAGGCCCTTCCGGCCCAACTTGCTTGGCTTGAACTGATGAGAGCCGCTGAGCCTCCGAGGATCTCTTGACTCAAAGTTACTAGCCTAGTGAAAAAGCACTGAGTACGAGGACAATCAGGATAGTCGAGGAGGCTTGACCCTGACACTGTACGGTCGGCCGCAGGCCAAACCGCCGGGCGAGCCTGAGAGAAACTTCGACCGTCACCACAGCGAGAACCAAATTCAATCCTCCGAGGATCATTCGTTTGTAACTGTCACGTGACTGGACTGAACGGTTCCGAGTCTAATACCGTCGACCACCGTGACCGTCGCCGTCTGTGACACTCAGGCGTCGACGGTCCGATCCTCTTCAACTTAGTACGGTTCGCACCGTACGGTGGCCCGGTACGGTACCGTCGCCTAGTACAATCATTGCGGCGATGATCAGATGCCCGGCGATCGGACTCCCGGCGGCGGGCGGCCGCGCGCCGCGCCGGCCCGACCCTAGGATCGGACCGGACTCGGGCGGCCCGGAGACTCGCCCGGAGTCCCGGGCCCCGGCCGGGCGGGCGCGCCGCCCAGCCGCCGGGGCCGGTCACCAAGTTCGACTGGGGCAGTACGGAGTACCGTAGGCTACCGTGCCGCTGCATATACACTGTACTCTCGCAAGACCTGAGGCGAACTGCAATGCTTGGTGGCTGGCCGCTGGAAAAACAAAGCTGGCATGGCGCGAGCGGGGAGAGTAGAGGGCGCAAACTAGCTTGATACTTTCAGGATGATGTAAGAGGATGGGATCAAATGGGAGGAGAAGATTATGGAAGCGAGGAAGCTGATTTAAGCCTATCTTTCGTGGAATAGCATTGCGTGAGTAGAATCCACTGGTACACAAACATAACGAGGGGGGTACCTCATGTCTTAGGAGATCTCGTGATTGGTTGCCCCTGAAGGATTGTTATGCTGCAACATTTTAACTTTTGTTTCTGATGAGACCCTTTGCAGATCCGTAGAGCCATTGAACCCTCCGTGCCTCGTTGAATTTCAGAGAGCTTTTGATGACTTGCTTCATCTAACAGCTGGCTGCCTGTTTGCCTGCCCGTTGATCATCGGCATATGTTGCGATTGCTTCTTCTTTCTTTACTTTCTCCGGCCGGGTGCTTCTTGCTGAATAGCCGTGTTCCTCCTTTGTCTGTGCATAGGGCAAGCCGTTGGGAGTACGTTGTCCACGGCTATGGATATCCTTGGCATTTCTGCTCGGACGAAAAAACTTCAATCAGAAGCTCGCTGTCGAGTAGAAAGAACTCCGGCAGGGTTAATTTCCTGCGCATGACCACACAAAACTCAGAGTTTCTTCCGGAGTCAGCAGGCTGGCAACAAGAGGTGGAAAAGATGTCATCTACGGCAAAGAACAGCACCAAGTCTGGTGGCAAGAAAAATGCTTCTCCAGTCATGCGCGTTTCTCCAGAGTTCAACTCTCTCTGTCAAGCGCAATTTGAAGTTCTTTCTTGTATCCTTGGGGCCTCCAAGTGTGTCCTCTACTTCCGCAGAGAAGATGCCAAGACAGGTCAGCTTGATTTCGTGCCAGCAGCGGTCTACCCCGAGAAGCAGGTTTATTGCTGCCACTTTGAAGCTGAGCTCTAATGTTTTCTATCAGCGTGTCTGGGTTGTTGGTGAGGGTCCAGCTGGTCTGCCAGCTTCCGGGCCGATCGAGCTTCCTGGCTTCTTCTCTGCCAACTCCATGTTTCCAGAGTATCCTTTCATCAAGCGACAGAGCTCTGGGATTGCAACCATTTCGCTCGCTGACGGAGGAATTTCGCTTCCTCTTGAGTATGGATCCGTTGTACTTGGCACGATTGCTGTCTGGCGAGAGAGTGAGCTGCTCGAGAGTTGCTTTCATCGCTGACATCGTGTTAGACCAGAAAGAATGGCAGGATACAGAGCTGAAGCAGGTGATGTTTCAGGATCTTCCTCGGCGATCACGTTGATGGTAGTCTTTCAGCTCGAAGCCATTGCTCGCTCGTTAGCTGTAGCTGTCATATTGGATCAGAAACATCAATGGCAGGCAAATAAACTGGATCGTTACCGTCAAGTTTTTGAAGTGGAGGATGGCAGGAAGCGGTGCAAGCAGAAAGCATGAGAAAGATGCTATCAGAGACCTTACACCAGGTTACTTTCAATCTTGATGAAATATTTCTCTATCTTTCAGTGCACAATTTCAATCTCTGCTCTAATGCACCCTCCTCATTTTACTCTGTTTGACTTCCGTTTTCTTTCGTTTCCTCCAGGTCAAGAACAGTTTAAGTGCTGTAAGAATGTTTGGCAAGCTCCTTCTTCGCCGTCTCCCTGGTAATCTTGAAAGATGTTTTTTTAGAGGCGCTACAGATTCTCAATCGCTTTGAAGGAAGCGACAAGATGAATAGGGAACTAGCAAGGGACATCTTGATACAGGTATCCTCCTTCTGTACCCGCCGAATGCTGACGTGAAGCATGGTTGCTACTAGTCCGATCGCCTGGTTGATCTCTTGCTCCCCATCGATTCAATGTCAAGCCCTCCTCGTCTTCGCCAGTCTCGCGCAAACGGGCATGGAAAGCCGCTCCTGCTCTCGTCTGCGTGAGCCCATCACATCTCCATGTTCCCCTGTAGCTCACGCATTGACTGCAGCGCTAAGAAGGAAGACGCGAGGAGGAGCATGATGTCGAGCATGGTGATACTTGACGGTAAGGTTTGCTCTTCTCCTCTCAGCAATGACGCACTTGGCCTAGATGATGAGTTGGATGAATTAGTCGGAGGCCCAACAGCAGCAGAAAGAATGCAGATTGAATCGCTCGACCGCTCCTTGGATAACGCAATGGAAGAGATGAGAAAGGGGAAAAAGGAATCGGGCGAGAGCAAGAGCAAGAGCAAGAGCACGTCAACCAAACTCTGTATCCTTGAAGAAGTTCTCGCTCCCATCATGAGCGCGAGTCAGGCAAGTAGGCATGCTGTGAAGCCGAAAGAGGTGAAAATGTCGCAGGCAATCGCGGAGTTTGAGGATATCAAGTTTACCTGCGAGTTCGGGGATGAATTGCCTCGCGTCCGAATCAATCAAAGAGCGTTGCAGGCAAGCAAGAAAAGAGGGCGACAACGAAGATTGAAAGAGTGTGAATTGTGTCATGGATTGCAGGAGGCTGTGAGCAATATTCTAGACAATGCACTCAAGTATGTGCTGCTGAAAGAGTTCAAGAGGAGGAAGAAGCCCTTTGTATCTTTAAGTGTTCAAAAAGGTTATCCCTCTCCTCCCATTGTCACCCCCTTATTCTTCCTCTTCGTTTTCCTCATGTTCATGCTGACTGCTTGACAGATGATAGTGGCCAGAAGAACGAAAGTTTCCTGCAGGTTCAAAATCATCGCATGATCTTTCTTCACCACCAACTACACTCTTTTTTCTGCGTTCTGCCAATTGCTCACTTGACTGCTCATCCTCTACGCCTTGGTGCAGATCATCATCGAGGACAACGGTAATGGCGTCCAACCTCACGAACTTCTGCGCATCTGCGAGGAGGGGTACAGGTGGGGTGTAGGCGAAGGGAGGAAGAGGCCCTGACTGTTTGTGCTCAGGGGAAAGGATGTTGACAACATTCCCGGCACCGGACTTGGGCTGCATATCGCCAAGGATCTGATAAGCCAAATGAATGGAAAGATGTCCATAGAGAACATAGAGCAAGGTTCGTTGCTCCCATCCGTGTTTGTATGTTTGTATCATCATCCGGCTGACAAGTGGTTCAGGAGGCGGACTGCGAGTGAGAATCTTCCTGCCGACAGAGACAAAGAGAATTCGCAGAAAGCGCAAACCTCCAAGTGAGACTGTAAATGTTTGATTCAGTGAGCACTGCTTGGCCGCCAACTTCAGAAGCCTGCCGGGCCCGCCATCCCGGGCAGGCGGCGGCCACTACTGGCGCCCAGGCTGGCCCGGCCCCTCGGGCCACAACTGCCGTGACTTGCCTTGGCTCAGTCCGGGGCCGCCCCGAGGCTCGAGTCGTCAGTCAGGCCCCCGGTGCCACGGTCCGTCACCGAGCTCGGACCCGAGCTGGCTGACGGACTCGGAGGCCGCTCAGACCGTACGCCGGTGACCGCGGCGGCCCGGGGCATTCACAGGACTCGGGAAGTACCGTCGCCGGGTCGGCAACGGTGGCCGCGCGTGGCCGGAACGATTTAGTTAACTCCGCCCTGCCGGTTGGCCGCCGTCGGATGTGTCGAGGAAGTGGTCACGTCCCCCTCTCATTCTGATTCCCCCAGTCCCATGGGAGTCTGACCCTACCCCCCCCTCTCCCCTCCCACCCTTGTTCTTCTAGAACACTACCAGAAGAACCACCCTACCTACTGCACTCCCTTTATGACTCCACGTTTGTCATCCGGTTGAGAAGGAATTAAAACTTTGCTACAAAATTTAAATGTTAACACGTATTTGAAAGGGTCTGCTGACGAAATTTAGAGATCTTGAAGATTACAAGGTTGCAATCGGGATTTTAGCTACCGACTAGTGCGGACATGTTCCACAAGGCGGTCCCTATTAGCAAGGGGTACCACCCACCTTACCCTAATCGGCAAACCACCGGTACATTGCAATTGCACCCCATGAGCACCCCTCCACCACCCCTTACAGACACATGAGATTCCCCCAAACACCCCTTCCTTCCGAGCACCCTACCAACTAGACCCTCACCCACCTAATGGTAACCAACACAGGTGATGACAATCATACTACCCTACCAGTGTAAGACCACACCCACCCAACAATCTGACTAGTCCTGGCCGATTGAACCGGTGTTTGAAGTTAGTACCTGCGATCCCACCCCCCAAATCATAGTTGACACGTTTGGTAAAGTTAGCACTACCCATGCCGTGACCACCCACCCCAGTCATTCCCCCCACCCACCCAAACCGATAGAACTCCATAACATGGTCGCTTCAAGGATCCTGGAGACTGGAGGTATCTGACCCCGCCAGAAGTTTCAGAAATTGCTTCAAAACTACCTTCCATATTTCAAATATCAATTAATTAAACTTTCAAAACTCGCTAGAACGTCGCTTATGCTTTCTCTCCACCTCTGCCGCAACCCGAGCGCTCAGCTACCCCGCTCGAGCTTGTCTGAGACTCAAGTCTCTTTCCTTCTACCATGACATCAATCTTCCCCTCCCTCCTCGCTCTTCTTGCTCATCCTTCTCAGTCACCCGAACGAGATCCCTTCCTCGACTTGGCATAGCTCAGCTGTTTGCTCTTTTCGTGCTAACCAATTTACATCTGCTACGCCAACCTGTTGCTTCTATTCCTTATCGGCTTTATCAATTTATCTCCCATTTCTCAAATCGTCCTTATTGTCTCTTTGCTCCTGGTGAATCTTTCTTGTTTGTTTTCTCACCTCGTTCCCTCGTCCTGATGTACAATCTTCGTAGTAAGCATCCGATTTTCATATCTTGCAAACGACTGTTTCATTACCTTGATACGTGCTCTCTCGGAATCAGCTGATTTGTGTCGTTTGCTGTACTGATTTGTTGCCGGACTTCAGTGCCTCGTTGTGGCGTGGCTTGCGATCAAACCGGTTGAGTTGTTGAGGCGAAAGAGCAAACGAAGAGTCGACATCGATGGTGTCCCAACCTCTCTTCACAGATCATGACGTCGTCCATCTCGGTTTCTTGAACGTTCCTCACATGCACAAGGTCAGATCCCCTCCTTTGATCATCTGTATGTTCGTCGTGATAAAAGTCGCATAGATCCTGGGCTTCCTGTGCTTGGGCCACTATGCAGTCAGGTTCTGGTGGCTGGTTCGCTATGGCAGCATGTACTTTGATCCAAGCTCTTGGATCACTTGGGTCACTCCTGCAGTCCATCTCCTTCTCTCCTGCTCCTCTTTCATTTTTCCGGTGCCCCAAAGACGGTTTGACTCGAAGCCGATCATCTGGAAAGAGCTTCAGCTTCACAACATTCTGTTTACGTTTCGTTCTTGCATTGTCTTCTGGCTGTGGTGCATGACGGTGAACTGCCTGAGTCATCCTTCGTGCTCATGACTCGTGTGCAGCCATGCTTTTCAGGGGACTGCGGTCAGAGACACTGGTTCCTGCGGCTGCTCATGGTGTGCTTCTCACATTACGTTGCCGACCGCATCACCGAGAAGTTCGAGCAAAGCAGCAAGACAACCACCAGGTCAAGGTCGTCGCACCTGCCCCGCAGTCATTGATTTGATTCTAGGGATATGCCGTGGGGACCTAATGTACCAAAGTGGGTACAGCGTTACGTGAAGGTCTACTACGCTGTATGCCAGCTGTTTGCAACAACTGCGCTTCTGTTAGTTCGTGTTGACTCGTTGAAACCTTCTAGTCATGAGTACTGCAGTATTTGTGGGAGCCTGGTTCTCGATAGCGCATTCGCAATCATGTTCCCCATTCAACTTTCTACTTTCTTAATGACACTGGTAATTGTTGTGAGTCGGGACTCTGTTCTCAATTATTTGAACAGGTTAGGAAGAACCTCATTTCTGGAACTTCATGGCATGTGTGGTATGCCCTCTCCCTTGGCTCTGTCTTCATGATTCCCATCAGTCACTCCATCAGGTGAACGGTTTCAATCTTGTGCGAAGAGATTGACACACAGCAGAATTTCGCTCAAGCTGCCGCCTCCGAGCTTTCTGCACGCTCTTGTCAGGTCGCATGAAACTCCCTTTGCGTGTGAGGTGATCAAGATGCTTCTGGTGCGTCTGCTTCCCGTGCACTGCTGCTCCCTCACCACGTGCAGGCTCCTCTTGCCGTGTTCTTGCGCCTAAAACTCCGACTCGACAAGTATTTGGTCTTCACAATCGTTACAGGTAAAAACGTTTATCGTGAAAATCGCTGGTGACACAGCGTTGCAGTTTCATTCGTTATTTTGACCTTGTTTGAGAGAGAGATTACCAGTCAGAAAGCTGTTTACGAGACCAGCCTTCCTGAGACTGTTGTGCCATGGATCCGCAACGCCGTCGGCGGTTCTCTAGCGTTAATGTCCATGTAAGGACCGCAAGACCAACAAGCACATGAAACATGTTCTGTGTTTGTCTTCAATGATCAATGTATATTGAAACCGACCAGTTGTTCCTCTCCCGTTCCTCGGCTCTGTCTACACAACCCTCATCCCCCTCACCCCCTGCGCCCTCCATCCCTCTCAATCCTACTTCTTTTCAACGTTGAGGCTTATATGATGAGAGAGCCCCAAGTCCTTGAGCGACTTGTCCGCCTCATCGAGAATCTTGCGGGGAAACGCAGTAGCGAGCGTGTGCTTCTCAGGATCTGCTCCACAGACGAACATGAAATCGAGGACGACCTGTTGCATCGTCACATTGATGAGAGAAAGAGAGAGAGAGAGAGAGAGAGAGAGAGAGAGGAAGGGGAGAGAGATCGCTTGCCTTGAGTGTCTCGGTATCGAGAAATCTCCTGCTGTGCCTGCTTCCATCAGGAAACCGCAACTGGATGTGCGTAGCGGAGCGATCTTCCTTGCTGGGCTCTGGTGGCAAGGAGTTTCTAACGTCTTCGAGCTGTCTTTCCCGCTGCCTCTCAGCTTCCTCGGCCTCGCGCTTGATTCTCTCAATCCTTCGCTGCTCTTCCAACCTGTTGCTACTCTCACTGCAAGCATGCACTTGCTGTGTTTCAAACCTTGCTTGCTCCTTCCTGCGATCCTCCTCCAAGGACTTCTGAAACTCTAACAGCAAAGTTCGCATCAAGGAAGTGAAAGCGAAGGATAATCACTTCACCGATGTCTTGTGCTACTCTCAGAGAATCTGTATAGTGAGAATAAATGTTCTCAGACCTGCCTCTGTAACACAAAAACGCGTCAATCACCATTTCTCCCTTTCTGCTTCCAACGTGCCTATCGCCATCATCATCTAGACATCCATCAGGAGGGAATGCTGGGTTGTCTTGTAAAGAAGCTTCAATGGCAGCGTGAAGTTCCTGCCAAGACGTCATCGCAGCTCGAGCCTATCTCAAAATCACCGCATCCTCATCTTCAAGCGACATTCTTGACTTCGTCTCCATGTTGCCTGGCCCCTTCACGCTCGGGATCGAGGGCTGGGGAGCAGAGAGAGCAGAGGAGGATGCCACTTGCAAAGCCTTACCTGCAACAACATGAACCCACATGTTTCCCTCTTTCACTTCCTCCTACTCACCCATTTTGCCCCATTGATGAGAGTCAAGAAACCGCGAGAGACGTTCGACGAGATCTTTGGGAGCGATGTACTCTTCGATTCGCTCAAGCAGGGCTCCCGTGAGAGGATCTATTATGTCGATGACGGGGAAGGTGTAGGACGGATAGATACTGAGATACTGTCTGCCTGCTGTGCTCTCAAACTCTTGCTGCCAGAAGATGAATTTGCTCGTCACGACAGCAGTGACGAGCTCGTTGCTCCATGTGTCGCGATTCAGCATCTGTGAGTGGAAGATGTCTCTCTTCTGCAGATTCACCAAGCAATACTTTTCTTCTCCTTCTGCTTTTTCTCTCAGCTTGTCGAAGTTTCCTTGAAACATCAGTTTTGCCGGGGGAGGAAACAAGTACGACCCCTCGTCATCCTCCTTCCCTGACACCGGCACTTGCATTCCCTCGGACGAGAATTTCCTGAAGTTCTCGATGACTGGTCCCATCACCTCTGGCATGTTCTCAACGAGTCGCTCGACTGTCTCTGATCCTGCCCCCGCAGCACCTCGGGTAACCCTCTCCCTCTCCACCTCCATCCTCGATTCCCCGTTCCCCTCCGGCCGCTCTGCTTCCACAACAACCGGAGATGATCTAGACCCTCCAGTTCCTGGAACCGAATGGATGCCTCCGAATCCATCATCGCCAACAAGCATCATGTAAGCATGGACTCCGTCTTCAAGCGACCAGTTGTGGTTCCTTAGCATGTCTTCGGCGAACGACTCGTCGTCTACACCCGTCACCTCCATGAAGGACGAGACGATTGCTTTTCTGTCCGTTTCCATCGTATCTTTCCGCGATCTCTGCTCTTTTCCTGTACGTCTCCCCCAAACGTCAAGCCCTGCCGACTCTTGCTAATACACAGGCAACAAATCCCTGCAATGTCGGGATGATCCGTGCTTGATCTTCGCAGCTGCTCAGAGATAGCAAGGATTGAACGTGTAGGTTCGGGCCAGATCAGCTAAATTTGTTGACGGGCTCCTCCTTCCCCTTCTCTTTCTTTCCTGTCCGAGAGCAGCTCTGTATGTTGCTGATACAAATGACCTTCTCGTTCGCCTTGCCCTGGCTCTTGTTGCTACTTCTATTAATCCTCTGTTTGACTTCTTCTCTTCTTCTCTTCTTCTCTTCTTCTCTTCTTCTCTTCTTCTCTTCTTCTTCCTCCTCTCACTTCAAGCTCTCGTCCCTCCCACCCTTGAATCCCTTTGTTTCAATGCTGCACCGCAACCCTGTCTACCCCCACCCCGAATAGAAAGTACCCTTCCAAAACTACCTACCCTGTCAAAAATAAGAAAATTCCTACCCCACCACAGATAAAAGAGCTATTAGACTATCATAATACCCCTACTTTATCTTTCTGTGGCTACCACCACCCATTATTTCGGACCCATGCAACTACCCCCTACCCCTCATCGACAAGATGAATCCTGATCTAATGACCCTTGATCTGATTGAATCGACTAAATCGATTGAATTTTTCAATTCAAATCACCATCCTGCAAACGCGAATCCGGCTCGGACCGTCAGGCGTGGGCCCGGCCACCTGTTATATATAATTATACTCGATTTATGCCTGATTATGTATAATGCAATGTAACATTCGAACCTGGTGCCATCATGGTGCAAGGGAAGGGGTCAGCGCTCAAGGCTTGCGGCCAGTGGCGGCTGAGCAGTGATGAGTCTAGTCTGACGATGTTCATGAAGGGTCTAGAGTCTGACCCTCTTCATTGTTGGATCCGAGTCCGATCACCCTTAAACTCACCCGAGGCGGCATGCCTTGCCAAGTTGGCACTGTATGCGAGAATCGAACAAAACGCCTTCCACAGATTCAGTGAATGGCAATGGCAGATCTATGATGACGACAGATCATGTCAAGACTTCTGACTCTCCTATCGGCAGGTGTTGCCAGCCTGGTCTGGGCTAGACTTGAGACATGGATGAAGCTCCGAGCATGCATCCTCCGAAACCGCCTTCTCGTCATGTGCGCTTGTCTCTGGAAAACAAGAATGCACTTAGCTCTAGCCATTCGACAAGTTCGTTCGTTAACAAGTATGTCTTGGGTTGATTGCTTCGATCCCTTGTTTGATTTCGGTACAGCCAAGATTTCATGCAGCTCAGAGAAGAGGTCCTGTATCTGTCCAACTCCGTCAACACTCTGCGGCAATCAGACTCAAGAAGGCGGGCAAGGTGAAGAGAAACATCGAGGGGATCTCTTCTGACGTTGATGTATGTAATTCACAAACAGCGGAGAGCATTTCAACCATAAACCTGAGTTAGCAGCGCTTGACCACTGCAAGAAGAAGGTTGGGTATACTTTATTCTTGCGATGCCAAAGAGGCATGCTATCGAGATGTTTCTCTGCATACAAGGTGCAAACAATCCAAGTGATCGATTTGAGTGACTAAACTCATCAGGGGCAAATGGGACTCAACAAGTGGACGAGAAATCAATTGAGTCGCTTCTCAATGAGAAGAAAGCGAAGTAGCTGCTTGCTCGTCTTGGATTTCTGGCTGCACTTTACGAGGCGACAAGCAAGACTTGAAAATTCCCTTGGGAAATTTCTGGAGAACAAGCACAAAGATTGCATAGCGACTTGGAGGAGGCACGTGAGCCAGTCGATGTTGGAACGACAAAAAGGTTTGTGAAACCGTAGTCGCTGCTTATTCTAATCAATTTTTTGCTCTTCGCGTCTATCAACTTTCAGGAAAGAGTATAGAGCCAAAGTCACAGAAGCGATCTTCAGGCTTGTATACGGTGAGCTGACGACTTGGTTGAGGCTTTAACATTCGTTGAACATGTTTGCAGATGCAATGGCGACTGAAGCGAAAAAAAGAGGCTAAAGTCTTGGAGATCTGGAGAAGTGAGTTCGAACGATCAAGCTGATGCTTCTTGATGGCACTCAATGCTAGGATCTGCCTTGGTGATGAGAAGAAAGCGAGCAGCGACCAGAAGAATGTTGCATCGTCAGACGATCAGGAGCGAGGTCTTACCCACATTCATTCATTCATTAATTCATTCAGGGTTGATTGTATTCCTCCCTAGAAATCTGCATTTTGGTTTTGGAGGCTCAGCCTTTGGATGCAACGAAGTGAACAGGCTGATGCTGCTGAACCAGTAGAGAGTCAAAGCACCCAAGCATCAGTTCAACAACAAGAGTTACAACAAGCCTGCCAATCATTACAAGGGACAGTCGTCCAACTAGAAAAAGAGCGAAATTCCTTGGCTGCAAGATTATTACTAGCTGAACAAGACCTGCAAGAGTACGTGTGCTTGCATTCAAGTATGATCTTGTCCAACTTCTTGCTTAAAGGAAAACGTCCAAACACACTCGGAATCAACTATTTGAGAGCACGCTTAGCAAGATGTACTCCTCTCAGGTCAACTGCATTCCCGCAACCAGCCTCTTGCTCAAGCGTGTCGCAGAACTCTCTGAACATCTCAGATCTTGCTAGCAGGACCCAAGCTGTGAGTATGGCTCTGATATAGTATGTCCTCGTGAACAGTTTGCAGGATATTTTTGAAAGGAATTTTCATAGAAGAGAGATGGAGAACAATTTTGACCTTGTGCTCGACAACTTGGAAACTACACTGCAAAGACAGGCACAAGCGAAGAACAGAGTGTGTTGGTGTAATTGACTGAGGTACAGGCGGAAGACTTGCGAAAGCTTCACGACGATTGTGTTGTAGCGGAGGGAGTGAAGGTGAAGCGCTTCTTCACATGGTTTATCTGAGAGTGCTCTTGGCAGTCTCTGGCGATCAAGGGGTACCTTCAGTTCATCGACTTCTTCTCCGAAACCCGACGGCTCTGCAACATCCACAGGTATGAGAGGGACGCGATGCCATGCGCTCCTCGGTCAGCTCATGCAGTCGCTTGCAGGACGTCAATCCTCCACTTTCAACAGGAGCGCAAGCTGGCGGAGAAGCGAACAGCAGACGTCTTCTTCGAGGTGCTTTGTTTTGCTTTATCCCTTCCTCCTCCTCATTCCCCTCGAGATGGAGAAGTCCTTCGAGGACTCCGTCATGGCCTCTCTCGCCTCTTCCCGCTCGGACCTCTCATCCTCCGACGACTGGCAGCACCTGTCCGGTAAAGCTCCTCCTCTCCCGTGCTGCCCGTGACTTGCCCTTCTTCCTTCCCCCCATCTCTTGCCCCCACCCTCTCTCAGGCGTGTGGAGGAAGAAGGACGAGCTGAGCGGCTTGTCTGAAGTCACGCGCATGTTCAACAGCCCCAAGTTGCTCGCTGACGTTCCCAACCTCATCGTCCAGCTGGTGTCTGAGCACGTGGAGGTTCAGAGCAGCAGGTGTGAGGAGGGTCTGAGGTGCTGCAGGACATCAAAGCGATTCTGCTGGCGCTCAGGAGGCGAGAGGTCGGCAAGTATCCCCGCAACGTCAGGCGCCTCATCGTGAGCTCCAAGATGATCCAACTCGAAGTTATGAAGCTCACGTGCCATGTCCACGTCATCAGATTGGTGCTGACCTCCCTGCAGGAACGTCTCGCCTGCCGGGGAGCTCAACACCTCCGGTACTCGAAACTTTTATCGACTTGTCAGCCTCACCAAGCGGCAGGTTTCATGAGCACAAACGGCTCAGCCTCTATCCAAGTTTGAGTTGCTCGTTTGAGTTTCAATCAAGATGGCAAATGTTGACAAGGAAGAAAAACAATAAAATGTACAAGAAGCCCTCGATCATCGTCCCTGGCTGCCCCACGCCTTTCGCTCGTTACAAGGAGACCTGAGGAGAAAAAGCTGGTGAGGTGCGAAAAGAAGAGCACGAGCAGCAGGAGGAGAGAGAAGGACAGGGGAAAGAGCAGGACAAGCGAAGGGACCTCATCGAAGTCGCGGTCAGCTCTCGTCCTCCGTGGGCTCTCCATCATTCCTGCCTGAACTCTCTGAACATCTCGAGGGCGAGAAATTGTCGGCATGGGACGGAGGTCCGTGCGAGGAGGCAGTTCGAGGAACGCCCGCAGCTCGTCGCTCTCTCTGACCTAAGACAAACTGAGTGACAAGCGGAGAGACGGGAGGAGATGAGAGAGGAGCAAGACAGAGCGAGAGGAAGGATGGCAAGGGTGCAAGTGACTAACAATCCTCGGCTGATCCAACAAGCACTTCATGTAGACCTCAAGCTCTGTCTTCCTCTGCTGCGCAACGTCGCGTGACATCTTGCCAACCCAGACCTTAGAAGGGAACTCGGCGAGTCGAACTGAAGGCTCCCGGCCCCACACTCGCTGCAGCTCCTTATCCAACAGGTCGAACTCTCGGTATCGACGCTCGACGCTCCACCTTCTTCCATTGTACCCCACCTGAGAAAACGGGACTTAGACCTCTCCCAACTCCTCCCTTCCCCACCTCCCCCAACCTCCCCGTTTTTACTCCCTCCACACCCTCCAAATTCCCATCCTCGCTCCCCATCTCCTCGCTCCCCGTTCCCTCCCACCCTCCCCATCTCTTCCCTCCCGCCTTTTAGCAGTGGCCTCACCTGCAGCACGTACACAACATGCTCCCCACTGCCCAAGCACACGAGAGGCATCGAACCTCCCTTCCTGCCTCCTCGTTGCACGAAGGGCTCCTCGAAAGTCACCTTGAGACCAGTCAGACCTTGTGGTGTTTCCGCTTTCTCCTACCTCCACGTTCTCCAGGCTGTTCCTCTCTGGATCGCGATGCCTCGAATGACCGTTGCAGTTTCCGTTATGTCTCGAATGACTTCCGTTGTTCTGCTGAGCGTGATCCATGAGAACAAGGCGAAAACTAACGAGCAAACACACAGAGACGACAACAAACGAGCAAAGAAGCAGAAACGAAGGACAGGAGAAACCAGGGTACAAGCAACAAAGTGGAGAGATAATGAGGAAGAAGGTGCATAGATGTGTAGATGCTGTCTAGCATCTAGCAATTATGCCATTACAGCAGCAGCAGCAGCAGCAGCTATCGTCTTCACCTGGCAAGAAGCCCTTGCTACAGCTAGCGCTTGTTCGAGTTCTGTGGGTTGGAAGAGCGAAGAAACCGCATCCTTGTTGTCCAATTTGACTGGCCTGGTCGAGCTCGTACACTGACCGTAGACTGTGTCGTAGAGAGGATCTTTGAAGACTCCGACACCTGAACTACTGTCACTCTAGCATGTCCCAAGCCAACCCGCTGGCCACCGTCATAGTTCTCTGCCTCCTTCTCTCCTTGCTTCTTCAAGAACGCTCTGCAATCACCAACGTAAGAACACAACAAAACAAATATGAGCGAGTCACTTCGCTGCTCGTGCACAGAAGTAGTTTCCTCCCCCTCCATATCCTTTTGTCCCGACGCTTTCCAGATTCCATGTGGCCATCACTGCGAAACCTTATAAGCATGGACGCAGAAAAGAAACCGGACGAGTGGGAGGACAATGTGTTCTGATACAGATGAACAGTGATTGAGATAACGATGTTGCCTTGCAATTGGAACGCTATCTTGATCTATTGCAACACATCATCCTGATATCCTGTGTCTATCAACCTACTGCTTCTTCTGCTTCTTCAGTTTCTGTCCCTGACGCTCCTCCTTCTACTCTTCTTTCTCCTCCTCCTACTCTTGCTTCTCCTTCTATTTTTTGTTTCTCCTCCTCCATTGTTGCTGTTTCTCCTCCTCCTACTCTTGTTTCTCCTACTCATGTTTCTTCTCCTTGTTCTACTCTTGCTTCTCCTCCTTCTACTGTTGCTGTTTCTCCTCCTCCTCCTCTTGCTGTTTCACATCCTTCTATTCTGGTTTCTCCTCCTTCTACTGTTGCTGTTTCTCCTCCTCCTACGGTTCCTTCTCCTCCTCGTTCTATTCTTGTTTCTCCTCCTCCTACTCTTGCTTCCCCTACTCTTGTTTCTTCTCCTTGTTCTACTCTTGCTTCTCCTCCTTCTACTCTTGTTTCTCCTCCTTGCTCTACTCTTGTTTCACGTCCTTCTACTCTTGCTTCTCCGCCTTCTACTGTTGCTGTTTCTCCTCCTTCTACTCTTGCTTCTCCTCCTTCTACTCTTGTTTCACGTCTTCCTTTTCTTGTTTCTCCTCCTACTACTGTAGCTGTTTCTTCTCCTTCTACTCTTGTTTCTCCTCTTGACTCTCTCTCTCCTTCTGCTTCAGCCTCGTCACTCCCTGCATGTAATATGGGTCCAATTCCAGACTGTACCACCCTACCCCCGAGCAATAATATCACCCCCTTAATTCCCATCCAATACCCCCCTACTTCTCCTCATGGCACGAAGCCTCTGACCACCCACCAGTGATATTTTTCGTCGCTTCATTCACTATGAGGCCTGTATTTGACTACATTACTTCAATTAAATAGTCAAACTATCGATGCGTTGGTCCCGGCGAGGTGACAGTGGCTGCCCCGGCCGGCCCGGCCACCGTGCCCGAGCCTACCGTACTGTGCCATACTGCGGCCCGCCGCCGGCGGCCGGCCCGGCCGGGCGGGCGGGACCGACTCCGGTGACTGTCCCGGCTTTCCAGCTGCTGGGAACGGTAACCGCGGGGGAGCCGGCCGGCGGCCCGGCGTCACCCGGGCGACCCGGGCATACCGTCACGGTGGCACCGGGGCCAGCGGTCCACGCCGCTCCGACTCCCGGCGCCCGGCGCGGCCAGGGTCCCCGGCGCAGCGGATGGTCATCGGATGCGGCGATCCGACTCGGACGTCTCAGTCACTGTGCCATCCGTCGCCGGGTCAGTCGGGCCGGCTAAAGATTGAAGGCGACCAAGGATAAGGCCATGATCAACATTCCAAGAACCTGCAATGCCATAGTAAAGCGTCGCAAGGACTGATGCGAGGACTCACCCAAGATGAAGTGACGATCGCATGATTCACGTCATGTCGATAGGCCGATGGCAGGAGCTCGGCCAACGAGATGAAGACCATCATCCCAGCTACTAGAGCAAACATCGCTCCATACGATACGTTGTTGATATTGTCTTTCACGGCAAGGTAGCCCACCACAGCGCCAAGAGGCTCACTGAGTCCGCTGATCGTCGCCCATCTGCAAACCTTTCAGTGAATTCTCAACTTGTGACAGTCCGAAGGAAACACATACATGAAGCCTTTCAATCGAGACTTGGTCGCATGATAGATTGGCATAGCAACGCAAATACCCTCGGGGATGTTGTGTATCGCTATTGCCACACAGATGGTAACCCCAACAGAAGAATCCTATCAACAACGGTGAGCGACAAGCTTTTCGCAGCCTGGAACTTGCCGCCATGGTGGCCACAAACGTCGCTAGTCCTTCCGGGAAATTGTGGATCGCAACAGCCAGGCCAGCAAGAATACCTGAGATCAGCAGCAGTATCACATACTGGCATGAAAGCTTCTTGATGGGTGCGTTCGACCTGTCGACTGCAGCTCAAGAAGTGCGGCTGGGTCAGGGTGCCGTCTCCGAGACAGAGACTCTTCTTCTTGGTCCTTGTCACACCTCCCCTGCGAGTGATCCACCATCAACGTCTCTGAGAGATCTTCATCTGTCCTTGACATTTCCGGGGTCAGCGGCTGTGTCAATGGGACCGTGCTAGTCCGTGTTCCCGTGGGGACATGCACATAGAAGTGTTTCAGGGTTGCTCTTGAAATGCGAACCTGAAGGGTGAAGTGGGTCAAGCACAAGACTCGCAGCATCTGCACAACCTCCCATCCAGGTGGAAGGCTGCAAACATCTTCAGGCCACGTGTCTGGGTCGCCCTCGTTCGCATCGTCGGTCGTCGTGACTTGTATTTCTTCCATTCCAGACATGCAATCATTCCTGAGCTCGTTTTCTACGTTGGTGGAACTGTCGGGCTTTGCCGAGCTGCAGAGATTTTTCATGGTGTGTACTGCCATCGCAACGAACTTTCTCGATGTGACGACATTGATGGCAGCGCAAAGAACAAGCCCTGCCATCAACGTCACATTGTAGTGGCCGACACGCCCTTTTCATGCCTGCAAAGAAGAAAGCGGTCGCAGACCCGTATCCTTTCGAACAGATTTCATTCGCTCCCCGTTGTGGACACCATTCGTCACTGTATAAAAGTTTCAGCCTTGTGCAATTCGTCATCAACTGTTGTTCAAACCTGAAGGCGACGACTGACTTTGTGAAAATCTCCACCATAGACACATATGTCATAATGCCTGCAGATAGTGCCAAAGATATTGCAAGAAATGTCTTGTTCTCCACGTTCACTACAAATGCAACGGCTGCCCCAAGCGAAGTGCACATGCCTGCAGCAAGCACCAACCCAAAGGACAACGCCACGTTTCCTTCTTTCATCTTTCAGACGCTCAGAGCAAAAGAGCTTGGTGCCAGAGTCAGCAAGATTGAAATCAGTTTCTTCAAGAAAAGAAGGAGATCCCCCTTCTTTAGACTTCTGGATCCCCTTCAATGCAGATCTTCAATGGAAACCACTTGTTTGCAGGTTGAACAGCAGGCGTTTGGATTTCGAGTATCAAGAGCTAGAAGAATTTCATAATGTACTATCCCCTTCTTGCTCTAGCGAGCAAGCACGTCATCGTCCACCCCGCTCTTCTCCTTCGCTGCATGGCCTTTTTTTTCCTGGTCACTTCACAAGTACGGACCTCATCCCCGCAGTTGAATAGGTTTAGTTCAAATAGTTTAGATCTAGGGGTTTAGATCAGGGTTGTTGTTGCAGGCTCGCAACTAAACCCATCGACCACCTGTCCCATTCAGGTGCTTTACACCATTATTTGCCTTGGTAGTTCAATCATTTAATCATAATTTGAAATTATCTTGAAACTATTGGTAATAATCATGAAATTTACTATTACCTCTGTGGCTGAGTTCGAGTTCGAGAGATGCAACCCATTATTATCCCGCTGAAACACCATGCACTACCCCTATATTTCCACTCTTACTACCCCACCTTGAGACCTCCACACTGTACATTTGTACAACAACTAGTACCCCTTGTTTTCTGCATGGATATACCCGTAGTCTTTCCCCAATCCTTCCCCCACTCACATAAAAGCCTCATTGCTCCGGTTGGCCCCATTCCCCGCCTACCATGTCCCAGTCGCTTATCCTGCTCGCACTGTTCGTCCTTGTCCTCGTCGCTTCGTGCGTCCTGGCTGATGTTGCCTCTGTTCCTGCCATGAAGCCGCGCTCATGCGCCCTCAACTTCGTCGCAACCCCCGCCAAATTTTCACTTCCACTCAGAACCACGACAGTTCGCATGGCGAAGGAGTCGGAGTCAGGAATTGCTCCCAGGAATGATGAGAAGGACAAGAAGAGCGAGAACAGCAAGATTGTCTCTCGGAATATTCAGAGTGTGATCAAGAAAGTGCAGGCTTCCCCTTCCGTTCTGATGGGAAAGAAGATGAAGAAGTAAATCGCGGCATCTTCTTGACGAGGAGAGGAATTTTATCCGTCAGTTTCACGTGTTCCATGCCTCGTTTGTGTCACTAGCGGATTTCGTGTGAAATAGAGCTTTCGCTATGAAATCTGAAGATGTATTCTAGAGCTTTTTTTGGTTGCAACAAAAAACAAAAATAAAAGCAACAAAGTCCAATTGGGGTTCGCAACAAATTCCATTGGGATTCGGACGTGTTCGAGAAAGAATTTTGATGTATTTCATGTCGTATGATCTTGTGATGTATAACGATTCTAGTGAAGGATAGAGTTGCCTAAGTCCAAGTTTCCTTAACGAATGCTGTTGGCGCCTAACAATGACCGACTGGCTTGCTCATCTTTGAGTTTAGAAGCACTGTTCCTCCCAGCTCCGAATATTCTCCAGAATCTGATGGTTTCATCAGCTGCAGCTGACACCACGGTCGTGCCATCCTGGAGCAAATCAGTAAGATCCTACAACAAGTCTTTCATGGTACTCTTACAGGGCTCTTTGCCATATGGAGCACCCTAGCCTGATGTCCGGTTAACTCCGTGACCTTCTGCAGGCGTCCAGAGCCGAAGTGTCTCCACAGAATCAGCTGATTGTGTGTGAAGCCATGGGAGGATACAAACTCCTTGTCATGGATAGACCACTCGATCGCGCACACCTGTAAGGTAAATCAGTCGCCGTTCAAATGATTGAATGGGGGAGCCGGACCTGCGATTTAGTGTCGACCTCGTTGAAGCAGGTGCCGTTTGAGGTGTTCCACAGGCAAATTTTTCTATCGGCGGTTCCTCCACCTGACGCTAGAGTGTTGTGTTGAAAGGGGCACCAAGCGAGCGCTTTCACTGCAGCTCGATGACGCTCTATGCACAACCTTGGGCGATTGTTTCGCGCCTCCCAGATGAACAGAACGTTGTCATTCCCCCCTGACGCAAGCTGGTTTGCTTGAGGGGACCATTTCAGCCCGCAGACTTCATGACGATGTCCATGTAGAGATGCGATCTTGTGATTATTTGCACGAGTATCATGGTGAATGATCTGACAGTCCCTGGACCCGCTGCTGAGGGAGGAGCCCGTGCTCCACGTGAGGCTGGACACCCGCTGTTCATGGCCTCGGAGAGTTCTGACCAGAGAGCTTGTGCTCACGTCCCATAACTGAATCTCTGCGGAGTGAGTTCCAACGGCAAGTGTGTTACCTGAACCCCATGACAAGGAGGTTATGATGTCGCCTCTGCCGTCTGTCTGCATCAACTTGTGTGCAGCACCTGTACTTGCATTCCAGAGAAACACTGATTGATTTAGTGCAACTGCAAGAACATTTGTGGGGCTCCAGTCTAGAAGGTTCAGGTAGTAGTCGTCTACGATCTGCGGGGCATCTAAAATCTTATCTGCTGACTTAGGGATGAACCGTGAGATTTTCTTCTTGGATGGTGATGACAGGCTGGGTGAGGTAGGGAGATCATTCACAGTGTAGCTACCTAGACCTTTGGATGGTGATGCTGGTGACAAGCTAGCTGACAAGGATAACAGCTTCTCATTTGGTGACATGTAAGGGTAAACTAATTCCTTGAGCGCCCGTTTGTAATCTTGCTTAGTTGGTGATGTTTCGACTTCATTACTATTTATCTTACCGTTTTCTTGCTGTTGAAAAACACTCAAGTCAGAAACAATGTCTAGACGTCTAGGTATGAACCGGTCAGTATACTTAGCCTTTGGCGACATAGCTTTGCTGGGGCTAAAACTGAGATCAAGAGACATGTGGGAACCTGGAGGGGATCAAGTGGTTGCAGGTGATGTCAAGCACAAGTGGTTGCAGGTGATGTCAAGTACAAGGGGTTGCAGGTGATGTCAAGTACAAGGCAGCGGGTAGGATGTCACGGTGAAAGCGACTGAGCTGAGCGATCGCGCGATGAGCAGAGGTTGAGGTATTGTAAGTACCCTCACCCCTTCAAAAGAGGTTTGAAGGGGGGGTACTCCTCCTCCTGCGATCCTCTAAAATTGCCGTTGCAAATTTGTGGCCCTCATCCCCTCACGTCTTATGAGGCTTCGGTTTAATTGTTTTACCTTATTATAATAGTACTGCCCATAAACTACTTTAGCTCATACGTTTCTATCCCCGTCACCATGGCTGCGAAGAGCTGGCTGGGTATGGCAGGCCTGCGGGAGGAGCAGGTGGCCTGGTCGCTCTTCGATGCCGGATGCTGGGGCTACGTCAGTGTAACGCTCTCTTGCCTCCTCCCTCTCGTGCTGAAGCAGCAGACTCCTGCCTCCATCGAGAAGGTAAAGCACCACGATCGTGAGATGGGAAAATCAAGCACATGTCGATGGCGCTTGATGCGGGGTGGATTACTTCACCATGCACTTCTCCTTACTTTGCTAGTTGACATCGTTTGATGTTCACGTGTTCAATCTTCCATCCACTTGTCCTTACTTTCCTAATTGACATCGTTTGATATTCACGTGTTCAATCTTCTCTTCTTTGTGTCACTGACTCTTAATGTTTGCAGTACGTCTCGGCCGTCTGGGCAAACGCAGTGGCGGTAGGAACACTTCTCGCTGGGATCCTCTGCCCATTCATCGGAGCCATGGTGGATCAACTCGCGCTGAGGAAGGTGACCGTCCTGGTCTCTGGGTTCGTCACTTGCATCTTCCTCTCTGTCGCCGTGTCCATCGACGTGGAACAGTGGCCGGCAATGGTCGGGTTTGCAGTGATTGGCGTAATGTTCTACAGTCTCATGCAAGCTGTCTACAACTCGCTACTTGTGCACGTCTCCGAGACCAGCGAGGATGAGGTTGTCTTCGTCTCTGCTGTCCAGTGCGCCATCGGCAACTTCGGCGCCATGGTGCTCATGACAGCGTTGGGTCTGGAGGAGGCAAAACATTCTAAGAAAGTCATTCCGATCGACTATGTGCAGCGCTGCTTCCTGTGGAGCGCTCTTTGGTTCTTCTTGTTTGCACTCCCGTTTGCGTTTGTGTATCAGGAGGAGCCTCGACATGGGAAAGTGCACAACGTGAACTTGACACATCAAGTGAGGTCGGCGATCAGCGCCTTCAAAATGTCGCTGCAGGTTTCAATCCTCTCCTCTTCTCCCGCTTCCCGTCGCTCACTCACGTCAGAACCGCGAGCTGCTCAAGTACATGATAGCCACACTGATCTACAGGTGAAGTTGAGGACGAGAGAAGGAAACTTTCTGATCTGGTTGATAGCGACGCCTCCTCAACCCTCTTTTCCGTGTACATGGTGTATGCTGCTCAGATCGGAATCTCGAATGCTGTGCTGGTGATTCTCGACACTCACTCCTCCTCTTCCTTCTGACCTGCCATAAGTTACATTGCGCTGTTCTGAATCGCTGGATCAATGTGTTCATGGGATTCGGGTAATCCATTGCCCTGTTTCACCTTCCTTCCTTCTTTTCCTTCTCCGCTGCCCCCTCCCTCCCTCCCTCCCTCTCCTCCTCCTCCTCCTCCTCCTCTTTCTCCCTTATCTCTGCTCGCCCCAAACTACCCAGCTTCCAATCCCCTTTCTGGTTCGCTGACAGCTTGTGCAAGTTGGTACTACCTGTCGAGACTGATCGGATCGAGGGTGAGAGCAAGAGAGGTCGAGGGGCTGTGACGTGTTCCGCAGGTTTGCTTCCTCCTCTCCATGTCCCTCACCCTCCTTAGCGCCATCGCGTGCGCCGTCATGCACACAGACTTTGACTTCTGGGTGAGGAGAGAGCGAAGGGGAGGAGGAAGAGTGGGCAGAGGAAGAGCATGAAAATGGATGGAGTTTGAGATTCAGGAGAAGACGCAGCAGCAAAACATGGTCATGAGGAGGAGGAGGAGGAGGAGGAGGAGAAATGGGGGGCTAAGGCTGGTAGGTAAATGAGAAGAGAGGGAAGGAGGGAGAGATAGAGGAAGGCAAGGAGCGAACGAGAGAGCTCAGGAGGGAGGAGGGGAGAGAGCGAGCGAGCGAGCAAGGGCTGGGGGAGAGATCGAGCGAGGGATTGAGAGTCTGAGTGTTTGCAGGTGATGAACTTGATCCTCTCTCTCGCGGGGTCTGGCGGCTACATCTTCTCGGAAAGTTTCGACATGTCGCGCAGTCGATCTGATTGTGATGCAGAGAGTTTTGCTCGCGCGACTGACTACCAAAGACAACACCGCACAGGTTCCCATCTCCTACCGTCTACCTCCTGCCTCCTCTCCTCTCTTCTCTTCTCCTCTCCTCTCCTCACCTCACCTCACCTCTCCTATCCTATCCTATCCTATCCTATCCTATCCTATCCTCTCCTCTCCTCTCCTCTCCCATCCTCTCTTCTCCTATCCTCTCTTCTCCTGTGCTTCAACTTGCTTCCTTACTCCGCTCATCATCTTCCTTCTGCAGCATTTTGGCTTCATGGCAGGAGTCTCCCGGGTCTCGGGCATGCTTGGTCCTCTCCTTTACGCCGCCATCATCGCGGTCGGAGGAGCACGTGCAGGTTCTTCTTGCCTCCTACTCCTGCCCCTGCGCTTGCGCCTGCTCCTATTTCACCTGCTCTCCTGCTCCTCTCCTCATGACTCCGTCGTTTCCTTCCAGCTCTTGTCGGCCTGGCAGTCTTCTCGGTCCCTGGAATCTACTTGATGGCAGACGTTGACTTTGAGGTCAGCAAGCTGATCAACTTCTCCTGATTCCTTCCTCCTCCTCCATCTTCTTTATCCTCCTCTCTCCTCTTCCTCTTCTCTCCTGCTCCTCTTCTCTCCTCCTCCTCTTCTCTCCCCCTCCTCTTCTCTCCTGCTCCTCTTCTCTCCTCCTCCTCTTCTCTCCCCCTCCTCTTCTCTCCTTCTCCTCTTCTCTCCTGCTCCCTGCTCCTTCCAATGCGCAGGACCTCACTTTGTCCTTGAATCAACCATCTCCCTCGCATGACTACTTTCACAACATCCTCGACTCTACCCCGCCTTTCACCCCCCTCCTCCGTCTCTCTCTCCCCTCCTCTCCTGACAATTTCCTTGGCTATCAGACTGGTCGGCAGTGCACGGAGTCGATGCCAATCGACTTCGACGAACCCCAGGAAGGCGATTAACATCAGAATCTCTTCTTCTTCCTCCTCCTCCTTCCTTCTTCCCCGCCTCCTCCTTCCTCTCTCCCCCGTCTCCTTCCTCCCTCCCCTGTTTCCCGTACCATCCTCCTCTGGTTTCCCATCCTTTCCCCCGCCATCTTCCCCATCCCTCCCTCATCCTCCCTCGGCTTCCTAACCGAGTCCTTCGCTCGTCGCGCCATCTTTCTTTGCAACAACGTGACTTTAGTTTTACTCCCCTCCCTCACTTCCCCTGCGAGAATCTGCCTCGTCCTGCCCACCGACTTAGTGGAAAGAAACCAGAAGAGAAGAGGGAGAGGAGGGAGAGGAGGAGGGGACGAAGAGGGGGTTTGGGGTGGGCTGGGGGGAAAGGGGAGGAGGAAGGAGAAGAATAAGTGGCACCTCCGTGTCCCCGTTGATTGCTTCCTTTCCCCCGCATCTGACTGTTGGCCTCCCGCACTTGCCTGCTCGGCTCCTTCATGTCCCCTCCCCTCCCCTCCCTTCCTCTCCCTCCCCTCCCCTTCCTCTCCCTCCCCTCCCCTTCCCTCTCCCTCCCTCCCTCCCCTTCCCTCCCCTCTCCTTCTCTCCCTTCCTTCACCTCGCCATGTCCGTCGCCTTAATCGCCTCCACTCGTCCTCCTCTGTCTGGCACTCGACCTATCAAAACCTAGCGTAACGAGTCAGTCCCCGACTCCCTACCATCTTCCTCCTTCCTTGTTCTCACACCTCGCTCTCCTTCTCCCCCTCCCCTCCCCCCACCTTCCTTCCTCCGCCTTCCTCCTGCTCCTCCTGGTCCTCCTCCTCCTCCTCCTCCTCCTCCTCCTCTTCCTGCTTGAGTGCGCAGCCGAAGATCCTGGAGGGGATGCACAAGCTCGCGATGCTGGAGCGGGAGCAGTAGAGGTCATAGACGGTGAAGGAAGGGTCCTTCTGCTCAAACAAGTGAGCGAGGAGACGTAGGAGGAGGGAGGCGGAGGAGGAGGGAGGCGGAGGAGGAGGGAGGCGGAGGAGGAGGGAGGCGGAGGAGGAGGGAGGCGGAGGAGGAGGGAGGCGGAGGAGGAGGGAGGCGGAGGAGGAGGGAGACGGAGGAGGAGGGAGACGTAGGAGGAGGGAAGGTGGCAAGTTGCCAGGCAAAGCAAGTTGCGACCTTGAGGAGGGCGATGCGTCCCCGTACAGATTCGATGAGATGAGAATTCTGAGCGAACGTGAGGAGAAGAGAAGGAAAGGGGAAGGCGTGAGAAGAGAGAAGGAGGAGAGACGAGGGAGCGAGAAGAGGAGGAGAGGAGGAGAGGAGGAGAGGAGGAGAGGAGGAGAGGAGGAGAGGAGGACTTGGAGGAGGTGACTGACTTCAGCTGTAGAATAAGAGAAGCACTTGGCCAGCACGTCGATGCGCTGCAGGAGCATCTGAACGTCTCCGTCATCAGCCGCCTGTCAAAGTCGAGGAGCGTCACCTCTTTGCGCAGAGAATACTCGGAGCGAAACTCTTGGGATATGTCGGACAAGATGACAACCTAAGCGACATTGTCAATAAACATGAAATCATCATTATCTTCTTCTTCTTCTTCTTCTTCTTCTTCTTCTTCTTCTTCTTCTTCTTCTTCATCATCATCATCATCATCATCATCATCATCATCATCCTCGTCATCGTCATCGTCATCACCATCATCATTACCATCACCATCACCAGCACTTGTCACCTGCTCTTCGGAGAGACATCCTCTAGGCAGCAAGAAGTCTCCGAGATAATCAGCAGGAAGGCGAGCAAGCTCCATCCTCGCGTACTCGCACGCGAAGAGGAGGATGGCAGTTGCTTTTCCCGCCTCCCTCGCACCCACCTTCATCCCCACTGCTCTCATCACCTGCTGCAGCACAAACTTCCTGTACAAGTCCGTCGCATCTTGCAAGCTCGGCTGGAGGGCAGGAGCCTCTTTGTCCCCCCATTGTCTACCCCCTCGTCGCTCCTCCTTCTCCTCCAAGTCCACGAGCATCTGCGCGCATTGCAACTCCGCGACCAAAAACTCGAGCGCGTGGAATCTCAACTTGGGGGAGGAGAGGCGGCAAAGTTTGTCGTCGCAGCCTCTCTCACGGAGGAAGAGCTCGACATGCTGCCGATGCGAACAACTGTGAAGCGTGAGGGACGAGGAGGATAAGAGAAGAGAGAAAGAGGCTAGAGATTGATAGGGGGGAGGAAGGGAGGAGGGAGAGAGGGAGGGAGCGGGGAGAAATGCAGGCAGGCAGGCAGGCAGGCAGGCAGGCAGGCAGGCAGGCAGGCAGGCAGGCAGGCAGGTATGAGGGTATCGAGTTAAGGGAGGGGGCGAGAAGGGTTCTTACTTGCTTCCTGGACTTCCTTCCAGCGATCTGACTCGTTCGATGAGGCGGCGGCAGATCTCGAGGAAGCGAACGGCTCCGTCCGGGGTGGTGAGGGTAGAGGTCAGCCGCTCCTCGTCTATCTGCTCGGGATCGAACATGCTGAGGTCGGTGAGGCGCTCAGACAAAGAAGTTAAGAGATCGTAGGTGACGTTCAAGGACGTATCCTCCTCCTCCTTCTCCTCCTTCTCCTCCTTCTCCTCCTTCTTCGCTTCTTCCTTGTTCGTCTCTGTTTCTATTTTGTGACAAGAGCTTGCAGCACGATCTCAACTGTTACCTCGAATTTCTCTCTGATTTTGCTCGAACTTTGAGATTTTTCTGTGGAAATGAAACTTCACACGCGTGTCCTCTGGCATTCTCGACACACCCACCTGTTCCCCTCAGAAGCTTGTACAACATGCTTCTCGCCTCCATTCGTGGCTTTCTCAGCATCCCCTTGACTGTTGCGCACTGACTGTGCAGGAGCAGCGAGAGCAGCGGGATGCGAAGATTCTGATGCTTTCGACGCGGCAGGAGAGGATTTGACTCCTCCTATCGTCTTGTTAAGGAAGCCTGTGACCTGAGCACAAACATCATCCACAACACGCTCAGCTGCCGACCGACCGCTTGGAATTTCTTGTTGCTCCTCGGCTTATTCGGCGGATTTCTCGAGTTTGCAGGAGGCGGAAGCTTAGCCTCCTTGACTTCCCTCTGCTTCTCCGCCGCCTCGGTCGCCACGTCATCATCGTCGCCCTTGGGTTCCACTCACTCTAATCGTTGAGGGGCAGCAGAGGCTGACCTGGACATGCTTGTGAGGTTTCTTGAGGTTCAGATCGTCTTCAAGGTATCGGATGTGTTTCTCATGCACCTCCTGCCATTCTTGTCACCAACATCTTTCGCTCTTCCGCCCTCTCACGCACGTGCCATCCCTCGTCCTCGTACCCCTCATACATCACGAGTCGTCTGTCGGGCCCAACCACTTCACCTGCTCTCAGAGTCAACGGCAGCACAACTCGAGAGCTGATACCAAGAGCTGCCTTGTACCAGAGTCCATCCTCGTAGTACTTGGCCTCCACAACTGTGTGCGACTGATCCAAAAACTCAGCGAACATCTAAGAACCTCGGAGGTCGCACATGATCGTGGGTCGAATGAACTATGGGAGACATAGAAGCCGGTGCAATCTGCATCAAAGTTCATCTCCTCCTCCTCCTCTTCCTCTTCCTCCTCCTCCTCCTCCTCCTCCTCCTCCTCCTCCTCCTCCTCCTCCTCTCTCCCACTCATGATTCTGCTCCTGCTCCTCCCTTCCTCCTCCTCCTGTATCTTTCTCACATCAAAGTTCTTCAAGTGTTGCAACCCGGCTGGTTTCGTGCTTCGGTGGAAGCCCTGAGCCTTGACAACGGCACGTCAGTAGAGTCACTTGCTCTACTCGCGTCCTCACTCTGTTACTCTTGTGCGGACTTCTGGTCTGACCGCTGGATTTTCTCTCCTCCTCCTCTGTCGAGCTGCCCACTTGTTCTCGTTGCGGACGGCTCGACGCGGAGAGAGGGCGCACATGCTGCTGCTGCTGCTGCTGCTGTGGCTGCTGCTGCTGCTGCTGCTGCTGTGGCTGCTGCTGCTGCTGCTGTGGCTGCTGCTGCTGCTGCTGCTGCTGCTGCTGCTGCTGCTGCTGTGGCTGCTGATGCTGATGCTGTGGCTGCTGCTGCTGCTGCTGCTGCTGCTGCTGTGGTTGCTGCTGCTGCTGCTGTGGCTGCTGTGGTGGCTGCTGTGGCTGCTGTGGCTGCTGCTGCTGCTGGGACTGTTGCGAATGCTGATGCTGGTGTTTGTACTGCTGGTGACGGTGATGCTGCTGCTGTGGCTGTTGTTGCTGCTGTTGTCTGTTTTGATGATGCGC